TTCCAGCCCCGTAAGACTTTCGTTCATCTTTGGAACACAAATTAAGATATATTAGATTAAATCTGAGAGCTGGATCTCTTCTCCATAGACTTCTAAGGGACTACTTTTTAAGTTATTTAAGACATCGTTAAAATAGTCCAAGTGACTACTTGTCTACCTGTATTCTATCTTTATTCTCGCGATCAACAGACTGTCATCTGCTGCTCAATGCTCATCACGGCAACATTTTATGTGATGGGAATAGATCTAAATACTTTAAAAACTCACGATTCGTTAATCTCGATAGCTGTAATAGTAAAAACGTATAATAGCTGTAGTAAAAGTATTCGCGAGAGTTTCACATGTAATATGTAGCTATTTCATATGCAAGCATGTCAGCCAATCACAGCAGTGGGCGGTTCCACTGAATCCCACAGAGACACGCCCCTTCAAACAGAGCGTTCAAATCAGAGGCTCAAATCAGGCTAGGAAAAATGCTTTTTATTTCTAAATTATGACATTTTTGATCCAAAAAACATACTAACATTATAAGGGCAACCCAGGAAACATTATAAAATAATAAAATAACACCATGTCAGGGGACCTTTAATACTAACGCCTTGTTTCATTTTCTCATCTATTCTATATCTTTTTTTATTATTACGTAGACTGCGTTAGACTAAACTGGGAAGGGTCACACCACTTGCATATTGTTGTCCTATTGGTAGTTTAAATGCTTCTATTGTTCTCCTCATTTGTAAGCTGCTTTGGATAAAAGTCTGCTAAATGATTCATTGTAACTGTAAAAGCACACCAAGTAGGAAAACAGCTAGTTTATTTTACTGTAACCTTTGTGCTTTCTCCACATGCTTCTTCTCTTTGGTGTCTGCCTCCCTTTCCTCGAATTACTTCGTTCTTGATGCGAATGATTCACATACTCCAATTTAATGTTGAACATATCGGTCTTTTTACCTCCAGGCCAGAATGTGTGACACCCTCTAGTACCTTGCTCGCCGATTCTCTTTGTGACCATTGGACCAAGCTCAGTGCTGCAGAGAGGGAATGCCAAAATATCTATCTAATCTGAGCCAGTATCAATGCCTCCTCTCCGTCTCCTCCAGGTTTCTGCTGTTAAAATCACTTACTGCCAAAAGAAGGTTATTAGCACTTTGGACACCCGCAAATTCTTCACATTATTCTCCTCTCTCCTTTGTCTTCCCACTAACTCTCTGACTGCTGATGACTTTGCCACATCCCTGATAAGGTAATGACCATCAGCAACCAGTTCTGTACATCACACATCCACAACCAACCTCCACCTTTCTTTCTTCTGTCCTCTCACAGAGTCTGATGTCTCTATATTATTTAATTTCAGCTGTCCTACAACCTACAGCCTATCCCTTGCACATAGATTTACTAAACAGGTTAAATTAGCCAGAGAGTGCAATTCCAAAATAGTGCCGATGGGAGTGAAAAGTTCTGTGCGTTATCTACTGACGACACAGTATCACACTCGCATGATTCCTTTAAATGCTCTCCTCCCATAAGAGGGAAACTCCAATAAATGCATATGTAATAAGGTCAGCCGCAAAAATAACCCTGTCCACGCCTTTTCAATAGGGTTGGGCTGATAGACGATGCCATGACAGACATCACAATGATGAGTCTTGATAGCGTGGCACACTGTAACGCAGTGTTTCAACGAGCCCACTATTAGAACTATGCTGTTCTATGACATTAGCAATTTGTGAGAACATAAAAATTGGATTGAGAAACTAGGCTGAGAATAAAGACTGAGAGTCAATGTTCAATGTTCAGATATTATTATTTTAAGAAATATGAAGCATTCTAGCTCATCTTTTGGGTCCTGTTCTGTGAGGAGGAAGGGGAAGGGTGTGCTTTTCTGAATGTGTTTCTTCTTCTATCTATTTGTCTACTTTGTTTTGAACTATGCTGTGTTTTGCCGTGTGTTCATTGTCAAACTTTTAAATTAGTTTGTTTAATTATTAAAAACACCATTATGTTATATGAAAAAGTTAATAATTGTATTTTATTAACAAAATATTTTAGGGTGTATTCACACCAGGAAAGTCCGATAGTTCACTTGCTTTGGTCCGGACCAAATTAAAATGTATTATTATTTATTTTTGGTACGGTTCGCTTTCACACTGCTCTTTTTGCAAGTGAACCAAAATTTACAAACAAAACTACACGTGTGCTAAGGTCGTCCATTCATTGGACAAGGATTCTCAAGTAGGGAAATCAGGAAGTGCAAAAAAGGCTCAGCATGGAGATATTTCGTACTGCAATATTTGTTCTTTTACTAATTTTGTGTTATTCTGTGCTACATGGGCATCTGCCAAAATGTTAATAAGGCAGCTCGTCTCTTCGAAGCTCCAGGTCAAACCACGACTCATTTTATCAAATGTAGTAGGCTACAACAGATCACTTTCCCATAACGCAACTCCGACTACGGAAGCCTGTTAACTCAAAGGCGGAGTGCTTTCTTGCAATTGGGTCGGTTCATGTTCACACCGTAAACGAACCGTACCAGAGTTCGTTTGGAACCGTACCGAGACCACCTCTTCAGCTGGGTCTGGGTTCGGTTGTTTGGTCCGCACCCGAGTTCGATTGCTGTATTCACACCTGCCCAAAAGGTCCACACCGGGGGAAACGAACTAGAGTTCGATTCAATTGAACCAAACAAGGCAGGTGTGAATACACCCTAAGTTTGTCTTGTATATATATTAGATTTTTTTTTAATTACATCAGATAACATTGTAAGCAGTCATATATTCATGTTACAATGTTCCCCACATATGGGGCATGTTGTCACATTTCACTTCCATTATTTTGGGGTAAATAAAGTAAAAAGTATAAACTGTAACAAGGCCACATAATTGTACTAGACATGTGTGAAATTAATGTGGGGAAAAAAAATACTTTGTTGGAATCCCAAGTGGATTTACACAAACTGAGAAAGTCTAAATGTGTCAGGTTGTGCCCAACTCTCCCCTACATGCATGTAGCATGAAGTCTGGGAAAAAAACAATATATCAAATGCTCGAAAGTTGAACAAAGACAAAAACTGCCATGTTGTTCATGGTCATGGAAGCCTTGGCTAAGAAAAGTTCCATCATTACTTCAGTCTCACTTTAGAAGAGCTACATGTGGGTTATTTAGGCTTTATTGTGATTCTGGCATACTGATCCATCAGCCGCCTATTGCTTATCAAACACTGCATTTTTATAAGGCGTCCCTCTTATAGTTCACACATTGCAGTTTGTCTAATCAATCTGGCAACTGCTGTTGATGGTCCCAGGGCGGTATCCACTGTCCCCTGTCAGACGGATGAATGATGGGGGAAACGAGGTTACCAGGAACATCTTCAATCAAGCAATCTTTGAGGCCAGAGTAAAAGACTGCTGCAAAACTCATGCACATTCAAACTTGCAAAATATTGCACCAAGTTTGGCCACAAAAGACATCAGTTCTCACATGTCTCGCAACTGATTGAGACATGCAATGAGTGAATTTTGCTGTCCATTTTAAACAAAAGCCAATTTTGGTGGTATTGAAAAGAACAACTGGGTCATTATCACATCATGGAAGAAAGTCAGATTTAGAACATGATTTTGGTAACACTTTATAATAACTGCATGCTAAGCATTATAGGCCGTGAGACAGAGGGTTGATTGGTACCATTTTGAGGGATTAAACCGCATGGTGATTTTTGTGTAGGTATATGACGCTGTATTTGAAAAATGTGTGATAGCATTAGATTCAAGGTAGTTTTTGGTTACGGAGGACGATTTTCAAACATATGTCAAGAAAAAGGATAAATGAATTTATCTTTAAATAAATTTTATAAAAATGTTATAAAATGTAATTAATTTTTATAATAAAAAAATTATATATTTTTTTAAATTATAAAAGGATACATTTTTCTCTCTTGTAGTCACTGAACACCTTACCTTGAGGTAGGATGATATAAGTGTTGATTTCTAATGAAAGCTACCATGGATCGGATGCTATCACACATTTTCCAACACTAGAGATGTGTACCTTCATGAAAATCAAAAAGAAATTTAATCCCTCAAAATGGTACCGGTAGCCCAAATTTGGGGTCCCGTCTCATGGCCTATTAATAGACATTAATAAGCAGTTTATAAATACAGATACAAAATGCTTTATTCTTTATTAATAAGCATATCTATAATGTGTTTAATAATTGTATTTTCATACTTTATTAACGATCAATTTATCATTTCTAAAATTTAGGAGTTGTCAATGGTTCATAAGATCATTTAGAAAGGGCAAGTAAATGATAATAAACTATTTAAATGCACATTTATATATCTTGACATATAGTAATAGTTACTCAGTGTGTTAACACATGCTTTATTAACATGCATTCCTACTGTAATTCATGATTAATTCAGGTTTAGAAGATGTCAGTTAACTATTTTTGTGAGCTGATCTTAGGTGAGGACTAGTTATGCCCCGTAAAGATTTTACAAAGGAGATTTAAAGCAATGTTTGGACTTTTATGTTGCAATTCAGCGAGGCGGAGATTTGAATTTGTTGGATTTTTTAGCTTAGATGAAGCAAAATGCCATTAGTATGTGCAACTCCCTCGTCTGATGGATGCGAGTATGATGGCCTGCCATTTCAAAACACAAGCAGGATTTTCTTCTTTATTCGGTGTTGTGAATTATGGTGCATGAAATAAAGCGTGCGGGTCTGAGACAAAAGAAATAGGCGGAGGGTTGAAAATAAAACCGAACGGATGGGTGCATGAAATACAGTGCAAATAGATTTCTGTAACATCAAGAAAAGAACAGAACAATAGACTGAAGGGAGGCAGAGCCAAAAATGCTGCAAGAGACGGAGACAAAGCGAGGCAGAGAGAGAGAGAGAAAGAAATGGAAATAAAAGCCATGACGAGAAGGATAGCAAAGCTGGGAAAGAGGGAGGAGAACGGGGAAGCTGCAGGGCTAAATCGATAGCGTGTGGCGTACCAGGCCGCGCTGCCGTGGGCCGTGTTGTCAAGGTGACAGAGAAGCTCCAAGGTCTGCGGGTTGTTTGATGAATCGTCGGGGGACTCGTGGCTGCCTGATTCCCATTCCGGGGGCATCCTCCACACCGCCGCACATGTGAGCACACGACTCTCAGACGCTGCCCGACAGGAGACACACACACAACACACTGTCAGAGGCTCACATAAGCATGCATATGCACAAAACACGCTTAAAAACACATGCACGACAGATTCAGCTCACTTGTAATCTGAAAATAAAATAAAATCATGTGAATAAATTTGATCATATTATTGGAGGGTTAATGTACTATTGGGTAATTTCTAATGTATTGTTTTGCTGGAAGACAATCCAGAGAGGAACATGTTATGAGCATAATAAGTAGAGCTGGGACGATACACCTATATCCAGATTTTATACTATCACTATACACGACTAGAACATGAGTAAAAGTTAAATCATACACTTATACAGACTGTAATATTTACTAAAACAATTCATCACATCTTTCTGACTATTATTTCAGAAGCATCATACAATAAAAAAATCGATTTTAAAATCATTAAAAAAAAAAGAAAATCGCGATAGTGAATGGATTTTTTCTCCCAGCCATAATAATAAGCCATAATACGCCTTAAGCATGCATATACACAAAACACGCTTAAAAACACATGCACAACAGCTTCAGCTCAAATGTAATCTGAAGCACACTGAGTGCAAAACCAAAATAAAATAAAAATGCACACCATCACCTATATAAATCATGTGAATAAATTTGAACATATTATTGGAGGGTTAATGCAGGATTGGGTCTTCCAGCAGCACATACCCTGATGAGCAGTTTTGTTCTCTGAGAAGCGTACACTGCCTCTGGAGGCAAGATCACTCATAGCGCTTTTCATTTCACACACTCATCTTTCAGATTGGTGAAGATCAGTATATATACTGTACCTATCAAAAGTTTGGAAAATTACAATTTCTCAATGTTTCTGAGAGAAGTCTCTTCTGCTCCCCATGGCAGCATTTATTTAAGAAAAACTACAGTAAAAGCAGTCATGCAGCTGTTTTCTATGTGAATGTATTCTATCATAGCTGAATATTCAGCATCATTACTTCAGTCACATGATCCTTCAGAAATCACTCTAATATGATGATTTGATTATTATCAATGTTGAAAATAGTTTGTGTTGCAATATTACTGTTTTTATTGTAGGCTACTTTGATCAAATAAATGCCTTGGTGAGCAGATGAGACTTCTATCAAAAAAAAAGATATTTCTAAACTTTTGACAGGTTTGACCCCAAAAGGTTTGATTTGTTAACAGTAGTTAACATGAACTAACAATAAAAAAAATCATTTTAAAGCAAATATTAATTGTAGTTAGTTAATTTCAACATTTAATAATACATTATTAAAATTAAAAGTTGTATCAGTTACTATTATTTAATGGACCTGAGCTGACCTGAACTAGTGAACAGTTGTATTTTGTATTAACTAACGTTAAAGATGAATAAATACTGTACAAATGAATTGCTCATTGTTAGTTAATGCATTAATGAGTCAGTGAGTGAGTGAGTCAGTAAGTGAGTGAGTGAGTCAGTGAGTGAGTGAGTGAGTCAGTGAGTGAGTGAGTGAGTGAGTGAGTCAGTGAGTGAGTGAGTGAGTCAGTGAGTGAGTGAGTGAGTCAGTGAGTGAGTGAGTCAGTGAGTAAGCCAGTGAGTGAGTCAGTGAGTGAGTGAGTCAGTGAGTGAGTGAGTGAGTCAGTGAGTGAGTGAGTGAGTGAGTGAGTCAGTGATTGAGTGAGTCAGTGAGTGAGTGAGTCAGTGAGTGAGTGAGTGAGTCAGTGAGTGAGTGAGTGAGTGAGTGAGTGAGTCAGTGAGTGAGTGAGTGAGTGAGTGAGTGAGTCAGTGAGTGAGTGAGTGAGTGAGTGAGTCAGTGAGTGAGTGAGTGAGTGAGTGAGTGAGTGAGTGAGTGAGTCAGTGAGTGAGTGAGTGAGTGAGTCAGTGAGTGAGTGAGTGAGTCAGTGAGTGAGTGAGTGAGTGAGTCAGTGAGTGAGTGAGTGAGTGAGTCAGTGAGTGAGTGAGTGAGTCAGTGAGTGAGTGAGTCAGTGAGTGAGTGAGTGTGTGAGTGAGTGAGTGAGTGAGTCAGTGAGTGAGTGAGTGAGTGAGTCAGTGAGTGAGTGAGTGAGTCAGTGAGTGAGTGAGTGAGTGAGTGAGTCAGTGAGTGAGTGAGTGAGTGAGTGAGTCAGTGAGTGAGTGAGTGAGTAAGTGAGTGAGTGAGTCAGTGAGTGAGTGAGTGAGTGAGTGAGTGAGTCAGTGAGTGAGTGAGTGAGTGAGTGAGTGAGTGAGTGAGTGAGTGAGTGAGTGAGTGAGTAAGTGAGTGAGTAAGTCAGTGAATGAGTGGGTGAGTGAGTGGGTGAGTGGGTGAGTGAGTGAGCAGGTGAGTGAGTGAGTGAGTGAGTGAGTCAGTGAGTGAGTGAGTGAGTCAGTGAGTGAGTGAGTGAGTCAGTGAGTGAGTGAGTGAGTGGGTAAGTGAGTGAGTGAGTGAGTCAGTGAGTGAGTGAGTGAGTCAGTGAGTGAGTGGGTGAGTGAGTCAGTGAGTCAGTGAGTGAGTGAGTCAGTGAGTGAGTGAGTGAGTGAGTGAGTGAGTAAGTGAGTGAGTAAGTCAGTGAGTAAGTCAGTGAGTGAGTCAGTGAGTGAGTGGGTGAGTGAGTGAGTCAGTGAGTGAGTGAGTGAGTGAGTGAGTGAGTGAGTGAGTGAGTCAGTGAGTAAGTCAGTGAGTGAGTCAGTGAGTGAGTGAGTGAGTCAGTGAGTGAGTGAGTGAGTCAGTGAGTGAGTGAGTGAGTGAGTGAGTGAGTGAGTGAGTCAGTGAGTGAGTGGGTGAGTGAGTGAGTCAGTGAGTGAGTGAGTGAGTGAGTCAGTGAGTGAGTGAGTGAGTCAGTGATTGAGTGAGTCAGTGATTGAGTGAGTCAGTGATTGAGTGAGTCAGTGAGTGAGTGAGTGAGTGAGTGAGTCAGTGATTGAGTGAGTCAGTGAGTGAGTGAGTGAGTCAGTGAGTGAGTGAGTGAGTGAGTCAGTGAGTGAGTGAGTGAGTGAGTGAGTCAGTGAGTGAGTGAGTGAGTGAGTGAGTGAGTGATTGAGTGAGTGATTGAGTGAGTCAGTGAGTGAGTGAGTGAGTGAGTGAGTGAGTCAGTGATTGAGTGAGTCAGTGAGTGAGTGAGTGTGTGAGTGAGTGAGTGAGTGAGTGATTGAGTGAGTCAGTGAGTGAGTGAGTGAGTGAGTGAGTGAGTCAGTGATTGAGTGAGTCAGTGAGTGAGTGAGTGAGTGTGTGAGTGAGTGATTGAGTGAGTCAGTGAGTTAGTGAGTGAGTCAGTGAGTGAGTGAGTGAGTCAGTGAGTGAGTGAGTGAGTGAGTGAGTGAGTCAGTGAGTGAGTGAGTGAGTGAGTGAGTGAGTGATTGAGTGAGTGATTGAGTGAGTCAGTCAGTGATTGAGTGAGTCAGTGAGTGAGTGAGTGTGTGAGTGAGTGAGTGAGTGAGTGAGTGAGTGATTGAGTGAGTCAGTGAGTGAGTGAGTGAGTGAGTGAGTGAGTCAGTGATTGAGTGAGTCAGTGAGTGAGTGAGTGAGTGTGTGAGTGAGTGATTGAGTGAGTCAGTGAGTCAGTGAGTGAGTGAGTGAGTGAGTGAGTGAGTGAGTGAGTGATTGAGTGAGTCAGTGAGTGAGTGAGTGAGTGAGTGAGTCAGTGATTGAGTGAGTCAGTGAGTGAGTGAGTGAGTGAGTGTGTGAGTGAGTGTGTGAGTGAGTGTGTGAGTGATCTCGTGACTGTGACTGACTCACTGCCTCACTCACTCACTCACTCACTCACTCACTGACTCACTGACTCACTGACTCACTGACTCACTCACTGACTCACTCAATCACTGACTCACTCACTGACTCACTCAATCACTCACTCACTCACTCACTCACTCTTTTTTTGTCCCAAAGTCTGCTTGCCATGGTCCATAATGATTGAACGAAACAACAACAGCGTGCCGCTAAAAACGTTATGCACTACGCAGTTGTCCACATCTGTCACCATGGTTACGTCATGGCTATGGCAGTACGAGCGGAAACTGAGGATATCGCGGATATTGCGTCATTGACAGGCGACATTTTTTTCCGGGACGGCCACTTATTTAAAATGGGAATTTCTCTGAAATAAAAAATCTTTGGAGACTTTTGGGATATTGTAAGTACACAACTGCAGGATATATATCACACTGCGCAAGTGATTTTTTGATATTTCATTACAAAATTCTTACATATTGCACCTTTAATTATGAGGAACTTTTACTTTTACTCAATACGTTTAAAGCATATTATCTGAGTTTTGACTTCACTGCAGAAAAAAATTAGTGTACTGAAATATTTAAATCAATTATTTGCTGCCTCATTCTGTAACGTCTGGGTGGTTGTTGAAAGCACACACGACGAAGATGAGGTGAAACACAAACTTTACTGGTTAAGTTCAGGCAGAACAGAAACAACCACATCTAACATTAACGAGAACCGACAAGGAACTGAACATAAATACACAGGATGAAATGAGGGAACTAATGAGGGAAGATTAACTAATCAGGGACTAAGAGGAACAGGTGCAGACAAGACAGAACATAATTATGACACAATTAATATTTTACTGTACAAAATGAAAAGAAGAAGTGAAGATCTATCTTCAGTATTTACAGGATTATTGAACTTCCACATCCACCACTGCGTAACTGTGATGAAAATCACTGCAATGCACAGCCACAAACAGCTTATTGCTTTTCTAAAATGACTGTAATAGCAATAAAAAGCAAAAAAAATTCCAATTTGTTGTGTAAATAGTTACAGTATTTTAATGTATAGTGTAATATACTCTAATCCACAAATGAAGCTTGGTAAATTTCATTCTGCAGTTCTTTTCCCCTAGTAAAGCTGTTGAAATGCCTGTCACTGGTGTAGTGGAGCACACGCATATGGTAGCATGGATATCAGCGCGGTTCTCAGATCAGATAATTCAGCGCTCAGCGCACAGCATAAGGTGGCGGGCGGGGGTGCCGCTCAGACTCTGTGCCGCCCGGCTACTCCATTAGCTTGAATGTCACGGTAATTACATTCCTCTTTTGAACTCCACTATGACATCTTGCACATTGACCTCATCATAATGAAGATCGAAGGAGAAATAAAAAAAATAAAAAAAAAAGTCCCAGTTTTCACTTTCAGACAAGAAATGTTCCCCCCTATGAGAACTGTCAGTAACCAGCCACGGGCGTCAATCTTATAAACACGGATTTAATTAAAATTTTCACTTTCAATTGTTTCGTCATGTTTGTGTACGATTTTTAATTGCCTTGAGGCGAGTGCAAGAATGTGTCATATATTGCATTAACAGCCTGTGTGACATGACTGTGTGAGTGAACTTTTATATATATATAACCACATATAAAGTACAGAGTGTTTTGTGAACGGTCACCCACAAAGCAAAATTATTAACAAACAGAAAATCAAAGCACTCGTAGCGGAAGAAAGCAGTGGAATCGTAAATGAAACATTATGTGCACAACTTGTGAGTATTTTAAGACTAGAATCCAAATCAAACCATTACATTTCAAGACATCACAGTCAAGCTGATAAAAAGGCTGTTCTAAACAGTAGACAGCAAAATTAAGCTGCCATATATTATGTTTGATCAAAACATAAAAAAAGTGAATACAGTTCATTTTGAATTTAAAGAGGACCTATTATGCTTTTTTACATGTTCATCTTTCTTTAGTGTGTGTAATGTTGCTGTTTGATCATGAAAAAAGTTACAAAGCACAAAGTCCCTCCAGCGGGAGTTCTTCTCTATATCAGTGTCAGTGTTTCTGAACTCCTGAAACGCCTCCATTGTAGTTGTGAGTTTACTCCGGGAACGAACACGTCACAATATTCCTCATTTAAATAATTCATACGCAGAGTAAAGGGGCGGGGCCTGGTAGGGGTGGGCGACATGAGCAAAAATTCATATCACGATATTTTTCACTGTCCGGACGATATCGATATCATATTGCGATATGAGAAAAAAAAATTTGGAATCACATTTTAGTACACCTTAGTTAAATTACAGGCAAAATATGTATTTTAACCCTATTAGTAGAAAAAGGTGAGGGATTTAATTGGACATAGACCTGAAAAATATTTTTTTATTGTGCCATTGTTTTTCTCAAAAAGTGCAAACGTGCAACCTGAGGTAGACCTGAATTCACTAGTTATGTCTTTCCACTTTTTATTTGGCGGGGGTCAAATAATTCCTTCGTTAATAATTCGTAAGATGAGTAACACTGGAGTTTGGTTTTTTTTAATACGTTATAATCAATAAATATGAAATAGTGTAATAGTTTTTAGGTATAATAGTGAGAGGTTTGACACTTAGGCCTAAATAGGCTACATCCTGCTAATTCAGTGGTGAGAATTTAATTGTTGTTTTTATATATATTGTTGTCCATTTATCGAACTTCCATACCTCTTATATAGTAATTATATATAACTATGTATCAATTTACTAATGCTAGGACACACGCGGTTTCTCTCGCTGTCGATCGCGGAGTTCGCTTCGCTTTTATCCCGTCCGGCGCCTCATAGACAGACGCTGTGTGTGTGTGTGCGTGTGCGAGAGGCGCGTGTGTGACAAGACGGAGTGACACACTGTCACAGTGACAGAGAACGAATACACTGCATGTTTTAAATAGCGTGAAAAAAATAAAATAATAACGAAACGCATTATGTGGCGGCCGGTGTTGATTCTGTGGCGCACCTCCACGAATTAGTCTGTGTGTGGTGGGAAACACTGGACTGTTATCATGCTCTCAGTGTTTGATTATTAATGCCTGTGCATCACACGAGTTGGACACAAGAGGAAAAGGTTAAGTTCAGCTTTGACTTTGTATCATCATTAGTAGTGTTATTTTAACGTTGTAAAGAGTACCAAATTGAACAAAACAATATAACTACAAAATTTGAATTTATGAATATCTAACGGTATTCTCGGTATCGCAAAATCCATATCATGGTACAACATAATACCGGTAGTCACGTTCATACCGGTATAGCGCCCACCCCTAGGGCCTGGTTGAGTTAGTTAGTAGTGTGTTAAACTGGCGGTTATGGTAAGGGGCGGGACATTTCCCATACACTCTCGAAGCTCTTGACCAATCACAACACACTGCTCCAGCCGACCAATCAGAGCACAGTGTGCTTTTCAGAGGGAGGGGCTTCATAGAGACAGAGCGTTACTGACAGACTGGGAAGAGAGGAGCTGCAACAATGGAGAATATGGGAAAAATAATGTGTGGTTTTTTTTTTACATTCAAGCATGAAAACATGGTTCTAGTGGAGGCCAAAAACAAAATCAAGCAAAATATGCCCTCTTTAAGAGTTCTAACATGTCTGTCTCTTGCTGGTTTTCCTACACTTAAAAAAAAAAAAAAAAAAGTTTATAAAAGGGTGTTTTCACAGAAATGCCATAGAAGAAACATGTTTGGTTCCCCAAAATAACTTTCAGAGAGCAGTTGTTCAAAGAACCATGTTTTTCTTAGTGTGAATAACTTTTAATAATCTATAGAACTATAAAGAACCTTTTGAAAGGTTCCGTGGATGTTAAACTTTCTTCAAGAATCCACAGATTTTGATTTTTTAAGTGTAGTCAGTTGAGTGTAGTCATTTCTATGATCGGTTGCTCAAAGTGAACATCTATAGGCAGCCTTAAAACCCAAAGTATGTGTCTACATGTGGCGAGAGGAAGAGACAGACTCACTCTTGTTGTAGCAGGTGGTCAGCACTGCCTTGTCTGCAGGGCTGCCGCTGATGTGCCATATCTCACCAGCATCGTGCAGGAGCACGCTCTTATTAATCATATTATTCTCATCATCAAAGTCAATGATGTGAATCTGCGGAAGAGAAAAAGAAAAGCACAGCTTTGAGGAGAGCGTCCTGATGGCAGTTAAAAGAGCTGGGACTTCACTCGCAGATATATGACAGAAAAGGAAATCTCAAACACCTTTTAACTTCACACACTCCTGACACTGATTTCCCAGCTTTTATTTATACTTTGAAGTGACTGCATCTTTTGAACTTATTTTAGATGCATAAAAGTTACGCAAATCATCACACATGTGAAGAGTTATTATTTTACTGAGAGACCGCATGTGCACTGTGGGTAATAATCTGCAGAGTCTATTCAGTGATTTCATTATGTGCAAAATCCTATTCGAAATCAGAAATACTACTAATCTCTGTTTTTCACTAAAAATATCTAAACATCCTTAAAACAAGATAAATTCACTGGGGGGGCCAACGTTCTAGATAGAAATCTTGAATATTTTATTTGGATAAATACATTTATAATCTTGAGCTTAGATGAATAATTTAAGTAATTGAGTGACTTTTCAAGTATTATATATTTTATAATATGCATCAACATCAAGATAAACAATCGAGATTTGCTTGATTCAGGAAATATCAAACGTGAAACCTATACGGTTATATTTTACGATTTGAAAGATTTTATTTTACCTAGTTTACACTTAAAAAATATCTAAATGTATTCAATTAAAGCAAGTTTCACCATAAATACGTTTTGTAAATACCAGCTTTACAAATTCTCCTCAAAAACATACCTTTAATTTACATAAAGTCAAAGAGTCTTTCTAATTTCAAGATGTTTAATGTAAAAATTTCAAGCATAAAGAATTTTGCCATTGTTATATAGTTGTTATATTGTATTTGTTGTGTATGGTAGAAATAGAATATTGGTGATGTAAGAATGATTCTCCACCTATACTGATTATTGTAGTATATGAATGGCATATTAACTAGCTGTATGCAAAACTAGACCAAAAGGTATTTTTCTTGCTGGCCACTGACGTGAGAAAGAGAGAGCGCATGCATACGTGAGGGCATCTCTGCCTTTCAGGCTCCTGAAAGTTGGAGAGGAAGCCATTAACCTTGGGTTGGACTGCACTGAAGGAGAATTATTAGGCAACGTTATAATTTTATGGAGGAAAGCAATACAAATAAATTCCAATGGCTGGACAGGATAATTGGAGGCGTTGGAAGGTTCTGTAATGAGTGCTGGGGTTGGAGAGACTTGCTCGTGATTTATCAGCCTGTGCTGTACTGATGCCGAGTGAATTATCACATGGGCCTCGTCTCTTGCCGTAGTCATAACGTGAAGGAGGGGTCAGGGGCTCAGGCCTCCACTTTAGGTTCATTCATGCTCAGGACGTTGGTAAAGTGTCATATCAGTAACGACACACAGTGTGTCTCTGCTGCTCGAGGGCTGAAGGAATGTTTATGAAGTCTTTTTGATCACAGCAAATACTCATTTTCTTACCATACTAATAATTTTGATACTATATATGCTTTAAAACAAGAAAAAATCCATTATTTAGCAGTTGCCAAGTGAGAAAATCATCTTAAAGACAGTTGTGCTCATAAGTAATATGCTAAATATTTTTTAAAATAACAATAATATAATTACGTTTTTTTTTTTATTGAGTGCATCCCTGCCCAGATGAAGCTATGATACTTCACAGATACTTCACAAAATACGACTGAATTTACACAAATGATGCAGTTCAAGTTGACATACATTATCCTCCGTAATATTGCTTTATGACAGCTCTGGTCTGGTTTGTCCTGACCAGTGAAGCCGCCCTCAAATATCCTCCAGGTCATGAAGTGCAAGTTTTAGCACTCATACGTAACGATTATAAAGGGCTGCAAACAGCCAGGAGCCAACAAACAATATTAAATGATTAGTCAGTTAGTTCACCCAAAAAGTCTGCACAAAAGGAACACAAAAGAAGACTGAAGAATAAAAGTTAATGGGTTCCAGTGATGTTTTGGACCCCGCTGAGTTTCATTGTATGGACAAAAACAGTTGAAACTTCAAAATATCTTCCTTTATGTTCCACAGTAAAATAAAGTCAAACAGATTTGGATGTGGAACAACATGAGTTACTAAATTATAAAAAAAAAAATATATATTTTTGCCATAATGTCAACTTTTGAGCAGGGTCATTTGCGTAATTTCAGCTACTACTTTGTCTAGAATATACTCTGTTATTCAGTTTCTTTGGGGCAAATAATGTATGATCTTATTTATTATTAATCTTTATTTTTCTATTATTGTAACGTTTGGTCCCAAGGAAAATTAAAAGGTTCAAAAAAGGAATTTATTATATAAAAACAAACCAAATGAATCCGCAGATGAGCAGGTAACGTGACAGCATGTGAACAAAGCAACACAAACAATACCAGACAAAGAATGAGAGTAAAAGAGGAACTTAGATATGGTGATGAACTAACAACAGACAGGTGTGCTCGTTAATTAATGTCCATGGTAACTAATGACTGGCAGGGGACCGGTAACTGAAGACAAACAAACTAACAGGCCATTAAAAGCAAACTAAACACCAACAGATTGTGGAAATGATATATTATTGTATTGTCTGTATAATATATTATCGTATTATTTTTAATTCATCTTAACTATAATTCATATAATTAAATACTATTATTGATTTTGGCTTTTGATGTCTAATGTATGATCTTATTTATTATTCATCTTACTAATCTTATCGTTTGTCGTTTCAATATATTGTTTATCTATTATTTTATGTATTATATTTAATAATCATTTATATATATATATATATATATATATATATATATATATATATATATATATATAATTTTCTTAATTTATTATTTTGTCTTCTTATTTAAAAAAATGCTAAACATCCTAAAGATTATTCAATTAGTATAGAAACAGTTTATGATGAGATCAACTCTATAATCTGAAAGCAAAAAAGAAAAGTCTAAAAAACGGGGCGCGTTTGGGAAATCTGTTTGCAAACAGTAGTTTGTAGTCTGTCACTATTAAAAACGAATTACTGCCTAAATTAAAACAAAAATGTGGGAGAATTCTTCAACTTTTAAATCAAAGTCTGATATAAACAACAATATAATCGCACCTTGACATGCACTAAAACTGCCACAGTGTCTTAACAAGGGCCGATGTAACAAAGCAACAAGTGATAAACGCTTTCTCTTACATGTTAATCTGTGATTTGGTCCTAACCTGCCATGACAGATTCATATAGTTGGTTGTGCTTAATTTCCGTTGTATCGTCCTTGTTAGTGTTTTATGACATGGATTAACACTAAATATGAAACAGATTTATTCATAAACCTGTTCTAAAGAGTACTGCATATAATGGGTGAATTGGGAAACTTTTTGCCATTGAGACGACTGGGGAAAATAATGTACATTCACTCACCTGGTTATCAAATTTGAGTGACTGTGTGCCCACTAGAAACCTGATGGCATCTGTCTCAGCTGTCTGAGCTGCCAGAGCACGCGCCTGAAAGATGCGGAGAAGACGACAGTAGATGCATTAATCACACACAGCCAAAATACAAGAAAATACAATACATATCTGACACAAAATGCCTACAGCTGCTACCTACCTACCTGCATTTTGGGGAATTATAGGACAGATGGGCTCATGTTTTCTTGAGCACGTACAAACAAAAATTGACCAAAACCATGTGCCATGTATATATATATATATATATATATATATATATATATATATATATATATATATATGTGTGTGTGTGTGTGTGTGTGTGTGTGTGTGTGTGTATACATGTTTATATGTAACGTTATAGTATAAGTGTTTAAGGTATATTACCTTCTGATTCCATACACATTGTTTGTGATAGATATGTGGAACGGAACATATCTCTCCATTTGTCATGTTTAATATAAAAACATGTTTAATAACCATCTTATATTAAACATGTAAATATTACAACAGTGAAACATAGGTACCAGTTCATAATGTTCATATGAGATTGTTGTGTGCAAGAATGAAAAGGGTAAACAGAGCTACAGTACCTGAAACTCCAGGCCATAAATAACCGGTGCATCATCCTCCATCTTCAGTCATTCATTTATTCATTTATGATTTAATTCAGAGTGAAACATTCTCCTGTTTATCAAATACTTATGACATGTACAGCAGTTCCGCGAGAGTAAAATGAAACTTACGGAAACGGCGTACGGAAACTAACGTAAACCTGTTCTCTGTGAGTTCATGCTTTGTGTTTTGCGAACGGAAGTGTGTTCGAGAATACCCGTCTCCTCCGTAGCGCAGATGTTTGACACCTTTCGCACACCGTAGGGTTCTCTTCTTACGTCAGTGCGCATGCGTGTGTTTACACTGCTGTCATCACAGCGTTCATTTCACTGAAGGTAAAATCATGTTTTTACTGTTTTATCATAATATAATTTCTCTCTGTGCGTAAGTATTGTGAAGAATGTGACGGTCTCCTAAATGTAAAGTCAACAGTTGTTGCATTTTAGTCTACATGTCATTTATCATGTTGTTGCTACAGAGCTCTTCAGACATGCATATTGATTAACTTTATTTTAATCATAATTAATTTGTACTAATTTGTCTCCTCCAGAATGTTTGGATTTCTATCATTATTTATATAATGTATAATGGAGCTCATTTGACATTCTGTAATTCGTATTATTTGGAAACGAAAAAGGTTCAAGGGTTTTTATTTAAAAAGGCTTAACTTTGTCAAATCATATTTCTCTATTATTTAGTCTTTTGATATTATCAGTAGCTAGTGCGATAAATGGATGTTTACTTAAATATTATTTCACAAACTCCAGACTAATTTTCTCCTCCAGAATGTTTGGATTTATATCATTATGTATATAATGTATAATGGAGCTCATTTGACATTCTGTAATTCGTATTATTTGGAATCGAAAAAGGTTCAAGGGTTTTATTTATTTAAAAAGGCTCAACTTTGTCAAATCATATTTCTCTATTATTTAGTCTTTTGATATTATATATAAGTAAATACTGATTAAATATTATTTCACAAACTCCAGCGAAAAACGAGCAATAGAATAGATTTAGAGCAAAATCTCTTGTGCTATATATGAATATGAGAAGAAACCAGAGAAACACTGTAAGAATGACCTTGTGAAAAAGAAGTGTGCTTAATTTTATTGAATGTAAACAATTATTTGTGCTTGTATTGTAATTCAAATCTTTATTTTGTATTCTTTTTCTTTTGTAAAAACTGTACTTGTAGATAATATAATATTAATGAAATTCCTAAAGAGAGTACACTTTCATTACTGTTCTTAACATAGGCTACTTAAAGGAATATTAGGTGAAAATATAGCATAACAAGAGTTTTATAAGCTATTTTTTCAGGCTGGTAATTTTTTTAATACAAGTGTGACAAGGTGGGGGGAAAAATCTCACAAAAGTAATAAAAAAAAATTATCCCACAAAAATTGGGAAGTGGTTATACCCAGTGTGAGCAAAATTTAAATATTTATTTACTATTTTTAAAAATGAATAGCATTAAAGTATATTTTAGTTTATCATACATGCTTTTCAGTACATTCAGCTGTGCACTATTTTAAAGACAAAAGAAGTAAATAATTATGAAATTACATAGGCCTATACATTTGTAAAAACACTCAGCTAATTGCATTTAATATAAATTTAAACTATAATTCATTTTCATTCAATGGTAAATATCATGCAGTTAAGTGTCTGAAAACATTAAGTTTACACTTAAGTAAATATTATATCCGTAATAAGAATGTTAAGTTGTACATCTTATTCACAGTGGTGTTTATGTGTCTATAATTTTCTTTAAGCTATTTAGCCTGATTAATGTGTGTTCTGTTTGACTGGGAATGACAGGGAACATCCAGGCTGGAGTCATGGACAGCAGTGAAGGTCCATCTCAGAGGCCTGTTACACTGGATATAGACGGAGAGACGCCAGAAGCCTCTGTCACGCCCCAGACGGACCCAACAGAAGCGTCTTTCCAAGAGGAGAGCATCGACCTGGACGCCGAAGCGTTTGCTTCCCCACCGGACGACAGCATTCACTCTGAGAGCTTAATAGACAAGCTGAATGACCAGATGATGGAGAGCGTGATGATCTCAGACTCCCCTAACAGCGAGGAAGAGGACGTCGTTCCCATCGACTCACTTTTGGGGCAGAATGAAGATGAGGAAGCGCTTTTGTCCAAAACACCGGATGAAGATTCAGAAGAACAAAAGGATGACGACACTGCTGAACCTGAGGACACATCAGAGCCTTTATTGGAAGAAGAGAACGAAGAAGAGACGATTGCTCAGGTGGATGACAAAAGGGAAATTGATCCTCAGCACGGCCCAAACCCAGAGGCTCCCGAAGTTCAGGAATCAGGACTTGAGGTGAATACGGATACGTCCCCCAAAGAGGAGCCTATCCCGGTGTGTACTATCTTCAGCCAGGCTGTGCAACCCAAAACACAAGCCCTGATACCTGACGGCTTCCAGCCAACGCTAGTAAAATCTCCAAGTTTTACCATCGGCAGCACAGACACCCCCAACAAACTCATCCCTCAAGTGTGCCAGCCCAGTCCCAGCCTCAGTAAGTTCTTCACAGATAACTGCGGGGTCAACCCCGCCTCAGACTTCTTCGATTCCTTCACCACATCCACCTCTTTCATATCAATCAGCAACCCGAACGCAGAGTCGGCCAAGACTCCAGACTCTCCGTCGGGCCCCGGGCCTCAGGAAGCTGTACCGACCAGCACGTACTTCACCCCGGTCGCTTCGAAACCGCAAGAAAGTCCCGCGGAGCCCGTGAACAAACTCCAGGCCGTGTTCTCAAGCGGCGACGACCCTTTCGCAAGCGCTCTGATCACCAGCGATCTGGATAAGCGCTACGACGCCTGGCTTCCCTCAGACGACACCAGGAAGGTTCTGATATCAGTGGCCACACAGCAGATCAGTCCTGTTCAGATAGACCGAGAGCAGCTGGCCATGCCTGGACTCAAGTTTGACAACCTACAGGTCAGTGCAGTTTCGCAAAATTACATTTTCAAATTTCTAATTTGAACATTCTGCTAAATGGAATGTGATGTGTAAAGCTTCTTGAAAAAAAAAATGTATTCAAAGTAAAAACTGGGTGCACGTTTGATGGGAATTATAATGACAGAATATTTTTTTTATAGGTGTTAATTTAAAGACCATATTAATTCAAAAGTTGCGTTTTGTGCCTTTTATTCCATATTTATTATAGGCAGATATGTTAGATTTAGGATTACTCTAGCATAGGGGTGTGCGATATAATGTTATCAAAAGTACTGACTTCTTCGGTACCAAATGTCTATCAGCATTTCCCTCTAGCAATTTGAGCAATGTTGAACTGATTCTTAAAGTCCCTGTAAAGGCAATTTAAAAAAAAAATTCTAAACACATTATAAATGTTAGAAATGTATTGCTAAAACATATTACAAAGACTGTGAACTGTGAAGTACTGAATTGTGGAGTTAGACCGTTAAACAGTTTTTCACCATTGATATTTTACGGATTTTCTGGGCGGGGCTAAAACAGGGCTCGATGACGCACTGGAGCCCTTGAGCTCCTGGACACGCCCCTACTTGATGACGCACTGAGGCCACTGAGGCTGGCCGCTCCTAACAATATTATAGAGCACATTCACATCAGTTTGCCGCTCAATCGCGAGTTACTGTCAGTACTATTATTAGTAACAGCCTACAGATTGCTAGCTACTAGCTATGCCTTCGTCACGGAAATGCGTACTACCTGGATGCGATCACCGGATCACGTACAAAACAGATCGGTGTCCTTGTTTAAATTTCCGAAAAACGATTACATCAAGAAGAAGTGGATTAATTTTGTGAAGAGCCACCTTGATGGAGAGCTGAGGATCACCGCCAAAACCCGCCTCTGTAAGTGATCATTTTACACTGGATAGTTTTATAAACTTTCGTCGGAGATAACTGTCTGGGATTCACTGATAATCCGCTGTTACTGGTGAATGGGGCCGAACCGACTCCCGCCTCAGCCTTCATCCTCCCGTCGCGCCGTTCGGCAGTGCGTGCATCCATTCCGGCTGTAGAGTTGAGTGAGGCGAGTCGACGACGGCAGCTTTCCCGCGAGTGGGCGTGGTTTCAGCGCAGCCAGTGGACACGCCCCCAGCGTTTGAGAGCAGAGATTACTGCTCATTTTTTCAAGATTTTGATAGCTTATTTTATGTACTTGCTGGCTTTTTTTATCATTCAAATTTGGCTGGGTGACTAATAACACATTTTTCTGTGGTGTGACAAACTCAAAACACATACTTAATTTTGACTTTACAGGGACTTTAAACACCTCTGATTGGCCATTGTGTTCAAGCGCTCAACATGTATGTCTCTGATTGGCCATTGCGTTCACGCGCTCAACATATATGTCTCTGATTGGCCATTGCGTTCACGTACTCAACATATATGTCTGTGATTGGCCATTGCGTTCAGGCGCTCAACATATATGTCTCTGATTGGCCATTGCGTTCACACGCTCAACATATATGTCTCTGATTGGCCATTGCGTTCACGCGCTCAACATATATGTCTCTGATTGACCATTGTGTTCAAGCGCTCAACATGTCTGTGATTGGCCATTGTGTTCACACGCTCAACATATATGTCTCTGATTGGCCATTGCGTTCACGTACTCAACATATATGACTGTGATTGGCCATTGCGTTCACGTACTCAACATATATGACTGTGATTGGCCATTGCGTTCACGCGCTCAACATATGTCTCTGATTGGCCATTGTGTTCACGCGCTCAACATATATGTCTCTGATTGGCCATTGTGTTCAAGCGCTCAACATGTCTCTGATTGGCCATTGTGTTCACGCACTCAACATATGTCTCTGATTGGCCATTGCGTTCACATAGTCAACATATATGACTGTGATTGGCCGTTGTGTTCAAGCGCTCAACATATATGTCTGTGATTGGCCATTGTGTTCAAGCGCTCAACATATATGTCTCTGATTCGCCATTGTGTTCACGCGCTCAACATATATGTCTCTGATTGGCCATTGCGTTCACGGGCTCAACATATATGTCTCTGATTGGCCATTGTGTTCACACGCTCAACATATATGTCTCTGATTGGCCATTGCGTTCAAGCGCTCAACATATATGTCTCTGATTGGCCATTGTGTTCACGCGCCCAACATATATGTCTCTGATTGGCCATTGCGTTCACACGCTCAACATACACTCACCGGCCACTTTATTAGGTACCCCATGCTAGTAACGGGTTGGACCCCCTTTTGCCTTCAGAACTGCCTCAATTCTTCGTGGCATAGATTCAACAAGGTGCTGGAAGCATTCCTCAGGGAGTTTGGTCCATATTGACATGATGGCATCACACAGTTGCCGCAGATTTGTCGGCTGCACATCCATGATGCGAATCTCCCGTTCCACCACATCCCAAAGATGCTCTATTGGGTTGAGATCTGGTGACTGTGGAGGCCATTTTAGTACAGTGAACTCATTGTCATGTTCAAGAAACCAATTTGAAATGATTAGAGCTTTGTGACATGGTGGAAGTAGCCATCAGAGGATGGGTACATGGTGGCCATAAAGGGATGGACATGGTCAGAAACAATGCTCAGGTAGGCCGTGGTATTTAAACGATGCCCAATTGGCACTAAGGGGCCTAAAGTGTGCCAGGAAAACATCCCCCACACCATTACACCACCACCACCAGCCTGCACAGTGGTAACAAGGCATGATGGTTCCATGTTCTCATTCTGTTTACGCCAAATTCTGACTCTAACATCTGAATGTCTCAACAGAAATCGAGACTCATCAGACCAGGCAACATTTTTCCAGTCTTCAACTGTTCAATTTTGGTGAGCTCTTGCAAATTGTAGCCTCCTTTTCCTATTTGTAGTGGAGATGAGTGGTACCCGGTGGAGTCTTCTGCTGTTGTAGCCCATCCGCCTCAAGGTTGTGCGTGTTGTGGCTTCACAAATGCTTTGCTGCATACCTCGGTTGTAACGAGTGGTTATTTCAGTCACTGTTGCCCTTCTATCAGCTCGAACCAGTCTGGCCATTCTCCTCTGACCTCTGGCATCAACAAGGCATTTCCGCCCACAGAACTGCCGCTCACTGGATGTTTTTTCTTTTTCGGACCATTCTCTGTAAACCCTAGAGATGGTTGTGCGTGAAAATCCCAGTAGATTAGCAGTTTCTGAAATACTCAGACCAGCCCTTCTGGCACCAACAATCATGCCACGTTCAAAGTCACTCAAATCACCTTTCTTCCCCATACTGATGCTCGGTTTGAACTGCAGGAGATTGTCTTGACCATGTCTACATGCCTAAATGCACTGAGTTGCCGCCATGTGATTGGCTGCTTAGAAATTAAGTGTTAACGAGCAGTTGGACAGGTGTACCTAATAAAGTGGCCGGTGAGTGTATATGTCTCTGATTGGCCATTGCGTTCACACGCTCAACATATATGTCTCTGATTGGCCATTGCGTTCACGCGCTCAACATATATGTCTCTGATTGGCCATTGCGTTCACGCGCTCAACATATATGTCTCTGATTGGCCATTGCCTTCAAGCGCTCAACATGTCTGTGATTGGCCATTGTGTTCACACGCTCAACATATATGTCTCTGATTGGCCATTGCGTTCACGCGCTCAACATATATGTCTCTGATTGGCCATTGCGTTCACGCACTCAACATATATGTCTCTGATTGGCCATTGTGTTCAAGCGCTCAACATGTCTGTGATTGGCCATTGTGTTCACACGCTCAACATATATGTCTCTGATTGGCCATTGTGTTCACGCGCTCAACATATATGTCTGTGATTGGCCATTGTGTTCAAGCGCTCAACATGTCTGTGATTGGCCATTGTGTTCACACGCTCAACATATATGTCTCTGATTGGCCATTGTGTTCACGCGCTCAACATATATGTCTGTGGTTGGCCATTGTGTTCAAGCGCTCAACATGTCTGTGATTGGCCATTGTGTTCACACGCTCAACATATATGTCTCTGATTGGCCATTGTGTTCACGCGCTCAACATATATGTCTCTGATTGGCCATTGTGTTCACGCGCTCAACATATATGTCTCTGATTGGCCATTGTGTTCAAGCGCTCAACATGTCTCTGATTGGCCATTGTGTTCACACACTCAACATATGTCTCTGATTGGCTATTGCGTTCACATAGTCAACATATATGACTGTGATTGGCCGTTGTGTTCAAGCGCTCAACATATATGTCTGTGATTGGCCATTGTGTTCAAGCGCTCAACATATATGTCTCTGATTCGCCATTGTGTTCACGCGCTCAACATATATGTCTCTGATTGGCCATTGCGTTCACGGGCTCAACATATATGTCTCTGATTGGCCATTGTGTTCACACGCTCAACATATATGTCTCTGATTGGCCATTGCGTTCAAGCGCTCAACATATATGTCTCTGATTGGCCATTGTGTTCACGCGCCCAACATATATGTCTCTGATTGGCCATTGTGTTCAAGCACTCAACATGTCTGTGATTGGCCATTGTGTTCAAGCGCTCAACATATATGTCTCTGATTGGCCATTGTGTTCACGCGCTCAACATATATGTCTCTGATTGGCCATTGCGTTCACGGGCTCAACATATATGTCTCTGATTGGCTATTGTGTTCACACGCTCAACATATATGTCTCTGATTGGCCATTGCGTTCACGGGCTCAACATACACTCACCGGCCACTTTATTAGGTACCCCATGCTAGTAACGGGTTGGACCCCCTTTTGCCTTCAGAACTGCCTCAATTCTTCGTGGCATAGATTCAACAAGGTGCTGGAAGCATTCCTCAGGGAGTTTGGTCCATATTGACATGATGGCATCACACAGTTGCCGCAGATTTGTCGGCTGCACATCCATGATGCGAATCTCCCGTTCCACCACATCCCAAAGATGCTCTATTGGGTTGAGATCTGGTGACTGTGGAGGCCATTTTAGTACAGTGAACTCATTGTCATGTTCAAGAAACCAATTTGAAATGATTAGAGCTTTGTGACATGGTGGAAGTAGCCATCAGAGGATGGGTACATGGTGGCCATAAAGGGATGGACATGGTCAGAAACAATGCTCAGGTAGGCCGTGGCATTTAAACGATGCCCAATTGGCACTAAGGGGCCTAAAGTGTGCCAGGAAAACATCCCCCACACCATTACACCACCACCACCAGCCTGCACAGTGGTAACAAGGCATGATGGTTCCATGTTCTCATTCTGTTTACGCCAAATTCTGACTCTAACATCTGAATGTCTCAACAGAAATCGAGACTCATCAGACCAGGCAACATTTTTCCAGTCTTCAACTGTTCAATTTTGGTGAGCTCTTGCAAATTGTAGCCTCTTTTTCCTATTTGTAGTGGAGATGAGTGGTACCCGGTGGAGTCTTCTGCTGTTGTAGCCCATCCGCCTCAAGGTTGTGCGTGTTGTGGCTTCACAAATGCTTTGCTGCATACCTCGGTTGTAACGAGTTGTTATTTCAGTCACTGTTGCCCTTCTATCAGCTCGAACCAGTCTGGCCATTCTCCTCTGACCTCTGGCATCAACAAGGCATTTCCGCCCACAGAACTGCCGCTCACTGGATGTTTTTTCTTTTTCGGACCATTCTCTGTAAACCCTAGAGATGGTTGTGCGTGAAAATCCCAGTAGATTAGCAGTTTCTGAAATACTCAGACCAGCCCTTCTGGCACCAACAATCATGCCACGTTCAAAGTCACTCAAATCAACTTTCTTCCCCATACTGATGCTCGGTTTGAACTGCAGGAGATTGTCTTGACCATGTCTACATGCCTAAATGCACTGAGTTGCCGCCATGTGATTGGCTGCTTAGAAGTTAAGTGTTAACGAGCAGTTGGACAGGTGTACCTAATAAAGTGGCCGGTGAGTGTATATGCCTGTGATTGGCCATTGTGTTCACGCGCTCAACATGTCTCTGATTAGCCATTGTGTTCACACGCTCAATATTAGGGCTGTCAAAATTGCTCAAAAATGACGTTCGAATATTCCCTCTAAAAAAAACACATATATTCGAACTATTCGAATATCTGGTTGCGCATTTTGTCAATGACGCGCATTACGTCAATAACAGGACAAATTAATACAAAGAGACACAACTACTTGTATAGGTAGTTTATTTAAGTTTAAACATGTTTGACAACGTATTAACTTACACAAAACCAAGTAAATCAACTAATGGCCAAGACCGCAGACCTTACTCTCGCTCGCACTCGCAGGCACTCTTTCTCTCTCTCTCTCTCTCGCCCTCACGCTCTCTGCGCATAACGGTTTAAATGAACAACAATAAACAAATGTTGAGTGCTGATCAAGAGTTTTGTGCAAGCAATGTAAGGTCGCGACTCTTGTCCTAAATATAGCAGGCTTCATTCGGTGATTGAAACAAATATTATTAACATTAATTGAAGTTTTACAGTATATAGAACCGACATTGAACGCTCCGAGCGAGCTGTGCTGTGGTAAACTCATGGGTAAACTGCTGCTAGCCTGCTACTATGGCTATTTCGAGGGCGTCTGGCCACGCCCCCTTGGCGGGCTCTGACGTGTCTGATGTAATGCTAGCTCATTGGCGCACACGTTGGAGGCGCCCGTGCCATTGGATGTGCAGTTGCCGCAGCACAGCCAATGAGTGAGCCAGACACTCACTGTGCTAGCTGTGCAGCTGGAAAATGCGTTTTACATTTTAAGCTTCAGAATTTTGCCTCTCGCATAGCAGACAGCCGCGCCTCTGCTACCGCACTTGTGTTTTTCCACATGATTCGAATATTAATTTTCACCTTCGAATTTCTGTTTTTTAAAACTATTCGAATATATATTCGAATTTAGAATATTCGTTGACAGCCCTACTCAATATATATGTCTCTGATTGGCCATTGTGTTCAAGCGCTCAACATATATGTCTCTGATTGGCTGTTGCTTTCACACGCTCAACATATATGTCTCTGATTGGCCATTGTGTTCAAGCGCTCAACATATGTCTCTGATTGGCCATTGTGTTCAACATATGTCTCTGATTGGCCATTGTGTTCACGTGCTCAACATATATGTCTGTGATTGGCCATTGCGTTCACGTACTCAACATATATGTCTCTGATTGGCCATTGTGTTCAAGCGCTCAACATATATGTCTCTGATTGGCCATTGTGTTCAAGCGTTCAACATATATGTCTCTGATTGGCCATTGTGTTCAAGCGCTCAAAAAATAAATATCTGATTGGCTGGAGCGTTTGAAAGCAGGCGTAAGCGCTCAGTGAAGACAACATGTTTTTGAAGCGTTGATCATTGTAGCCAATCAGAGACATATATGTTGAGTTCATGAATACGATGGCCAATCACAGACATATGTTGAGTTAATAAATTATATTTTATATATATTCACAGAAAACAGTTATTTGAACAATATTCACAATATTACTGTTTTTAATGTATTTTTTTATCAAATATATGCATCCTTGGTGAGCAGAAGAGACTTCTTTCAAAAACACACACAAAACATCTTACCAACCCCAAACTACTACTGTACAGGGTCTTTAAACTGCAGTAAATAAAAGTGAAGACACAGTGAATAATTATCTCTGTCAGTCTCTGTTTCGTTGTCCTCAGTGTGGGAACGCTCTGAAACGTAATCTGTGTGATTTGCAGGGTGACGCGGTGAAAGATCTCATGCAGCGTTTTCTGGGTGACCAGGCAGCAATGAAGAGACAGGTGCTCTCGGCCAACTCAGTGGAGCAGAACTCCCTGGGACTCAAGCGACTAATCGTGAGTAGCAGATCATGATTGTTCCTTCACATGCTCCTAATTTTTTAATAATTTCAGCCGAGACAGACACGTCACATTTTAAAACGAGGGCTAGAGGTGAGTGTTATTAATGGCGGTAGCGGAGCTCCAATTTGTGTTCTTGTTCACCCTTTTTTTGAGTTTTATGACTGTTCAAAATCTGCAGAAGGCTTGTGGCAATTTGCTCCGGACTGGAAATCTGGGTAAAAATCTGAGCTGAAATCTTGTACTGTAATGTATTGGTAAAGTGGCAGTGTTTCGTGATTTAAATATAGTACTATTGTAGTCACTCACCATATAGTTATTGAATTAAATCTTCTTACAATAAGCGATTGATAGATCAATATTTCCACCTCCAGCAACGACCAGAATATGACACAGTAATTCAAGAATAGAATCGAGATTCATATGTGAATTAACCCCTAATATTTACCTCCATGTACAGTAGTTTTAGTAGAACATTTTAGTGTGAACGCTGCCATCCGAACCCTGGTGCCACCAAACAAGTGGACCCACTGAAAAGATATATACAAACGAACTCTGGTGCAGTTCGAATGAATATGAACACAACACAGACCAAAGACATGTAAACAAACCAAAAATACCTGTTTTTCTCGTCATATTTCTGAAGAGACTTGTTTTAAAAGCATAACACATTTCAAATAAACACATTTCACTTTTGTATGTGTGTGTGTGTGTGTGTGTGTTTGTTTACGGTTTATGTGGACACAAATGTGTGTAATGACATGAATTTTACAATGTAAACATGAGAGACTTCATGTGTCCTCGTAAACCAAATGGCTTAAAAAACGTATCAAAATAATGCAGAAAGTTTTCTGTGATGGGAGAGTTACACATAAACCACATATAAGTGTGTGTGTGTGTGAGAGTGTGTGTGTTGTATCAGGCAGCATGAAGTGCCAGCTGTAGCCCTAGGGGCCCAAAATTACTGCCTCACTGATTTACCTCTGAACACAAGCATCAGACACATGCAGACAGGCCTGAGACGCACAGCCTTGCCTGCTGTGCCCACGTCCTTCACTGAATGACAAGGATACCCTGCGTGTGTGTGTGTGTGTTTCTCTAGCGTTAGCACTGAGGCAGCCTGTAGTGTGGAAGCATGAGCTCTAATCCCCAGATCCTGGACTTCACAGGCCAGATCAAGAAGAGAAACGTGTGTGAGGCTTACTGAGACACACACAGGATTAGTCCTCTGTATATAGTGAGACATTCACAGACACTGCATTGTATCATTCTTAAAGATCCTATGTGTTTTAAATACATTTATACATTTTGCTATTATCCAAAGTGACTAACATTGCATTCAAGGTATACCGTCATTATACTGCGAGAAAGACTTTCTTACTCTGTATTTTTGCCTTGATTTCCTGTATAAATATCTAACAATTCTTAAATCAAGAAACATTTACTTGAGAAAAAATAACATAAGTCTGAAAAAAAACCATCAAAATTAAGTGAATTTATTCTAAAAACAAGAAAAATGTCTGCCAATAGGATAAGAAAAAATAATCTTATTTTCCCTCTGAATTAAGTTTATTTTTCCTACCCCACCGACAGGTATCTTTTCTTGTTTTAAACATCACTTCATTTTAATACTTTTCAATTTACAAAGCTTAATATCTTAAATCATTTTGCTTCTCAAGTAAATGTATCTTGATTTAAGAATGTTTAGATATCTGTACAGAAAAACAAAACAAAAATGCTAAGTAAGAAAATCATTTTGCAGTGTAGTTCATGAACGTTGCCAAAGAGTAGTCACGAAGACGAAATAACAAAGAGAACAGTCTTTAATCCACATAATACGGAGAAACAGGCTTGCAACACTTCACAAACACAACGTTAAGACAGGACAAATTACCTCAAGAAACATGGGACTATACACACTAAACCAAACGAGGACTAATGATCTAATTAATTGATGACAGGTTAATGTAATGAATCCAAAAAAACATTTGGGAAAACTGGGTCAACTGAAAACGAGCAAACGGAAGGTGAACACCATTGTAAAAAAAAAAAAAAAAAAGAAGACAAAACAGAACCCTGACATCACTCCCCCTCCCGGAAGGCGCGCAACAAAAATAATCCAACTGGGGAAGTGAGGGAAGGTAACAGGCAGGTGTTCTGGGCCATGCCGGCAGGCTAGGAAGCCTCCAGGGTGACACTGGCGATACAGGAGCCAGGGAGGCGCCAGCAGTTCAGGGAGCCATGAAGGATCGGCCTCTGTGGCCTCCAGAGCAGACTCTGCACCGGGGCTCGTGAACTAGAGCGATCGCTGGACTGTGGTCGGGGGCTGGAGCTGAGGTGTGTGTGGCCCAAACACACATAACAGGAAAGGACCAGCTCTCCGATACAAACAGGGCAGACAGGAAGGGCAGATTCTGGAATTTCTCTCACTGGAACGGACTCAGGAATTTCTCTCACTGGAACGGACTTGGGAATTTCTCTCACTGGAACGGACTCGGGAATTTCTCTCACTGGAACGGACTCGGGAATTTCTCTCACTGGAACGGACTTGGGAATTTCTCTCACTGGACCGGACTCGGGAATTTCTCTCACTGGAATGGACTCGGGAATTTCTCTCACTGGAACGGACTCGGGAATTTCTCTCACTGGAACGGACTTGGGAATTTCTCTCACTGGACCGGACTCGGGAATTTCTCTCACTGGATCGGACTCGGGAATTTCTCTCACTGGAACGGACTCAGGAATTTCTCTCACTGGAACGGACTCAGGAATTTCTCTCACTGGATCGGACTTGGGAATTTCTCTCACTGGATCGGACTCAGGAATTTCTCTCACTGGAACGGACTCTGGAATTTCTCTCACATGATCGGACTCGGGAACTTCTCTCACTGATTCGGATTCAGGAATTTCTCTCACTGGATTGGACTCGGGAATATCTCTCACTGATTCGGATTCAGGAATTTCTCTCACTGGATTGGACTCGGGAATATCTCTCACTGGATCGAACTCTGGAATTTCTCTCACTGGAACGGACTCTGGAATTTCTCTCACTGGATCGGACTCTGGAATTTCTCTCACTGGAAAGGACTTAGGAATTTCTCTTACTGGAATGGACTCGGGAATTTCTCTCACTGGAAAGGACTTAGGAATTTCTCTCACTGGATTGGACTCCAGAATTTCTCTTACTGGAACGGACTCGGGAATTTCTCTCACTGGATCGGACTCCGGAATTTCTCTCACTGGAACGGACTCTGGAATTTCTCTCACTGGAACAGACTCGGGAATTTCTCTCACTGGAACAGGCTCGGGAATTTCTCTTACTGGAACGGACTCAGGACACAATGACCTATAGGTGGCCAGCACCCACTCTACAATGTCCCACAAAGGTCCCACAAATGACGGGCAGGCGTGCCCTCATCTGCCATTAAAACTGGAGTGGTAATATACCTTTAATGAGCGGTCGGGAAATGAAGTCAGGCATGCCAGTATTAGAACATCCCTCGTATGGTCCTTGAGGGCTCTGCCTTGCTGTTCTAATCAGAGCAATTGTACTGCTGGCACATCCATATTTGAGTCCTTGTTCTTTGGTCCTGTCTTCTGTCACAGAACATCGCCAAAGAGTAGTCACGAAGACGAAATAAAAAAGAAAACCGGCTTGCAACACTTCACCAACACGAAACACAACAAATTAACTTTTCTTACACAGAACAAGGCACACAACATATTTTTCCATAGTATTATACAGTGATAAAGGCTATGTTGATTAGCATTGAAGTTTAAATATACTGTATTATCATGAAAATCCAGAGAAGGCTTGAAGAACTCCGATAAACCATATATTGTTGTGGTCATGTGTATTAGTCATGTTTAATCAATCAAAGCGTTTCAATCTTGTGTTTATTCAGCTACAGCGATAGTATGATGCCCATAGGGATTTCCTGGAATGACGTGCGTTATCGTACTTGTTCTGCGGGGCATATCTGGCGTGTCTGCGCGAGAGCGCCCTCTGGCTTTCAGATGGAGCAGCATTTACTACTGATCAAAGGGCTGTACTGCACTGACAAGCTGCGCATAAAATAATCACAGCCTTTGCCAAATCGGGTGCATTTTAATTTCGATTAATCGTGCAGCCCTTAAAATGGTCTAAAACTGGGACTAGTGCAGAAGTACATACTAATCCAGATCTGTCATCCCCAGAGTAAAAACTGCTCAGACAGAGAGCAAAGTCTCACACAACATGTGCCGTTCATCTAAACCTGATAGAAAATCCCTCATTCTACAGAAGACCGATGCCTCAGCCACCCTCGTTTCCCAATGTCTGCTCTTTTCTCTCTTTTCTTCTGGTCTGGCTCTTGTCTTCTCCATACGGGGTTCCAGTGATTATTTTTGGCTCTTAATCTCGGCCTTATTTCTCGCGGCACCATCCTGACTTCCTTTCCAGCTGTTCATAATATTGTTATCTATCTTATTTTCTTGGCCACAAAGGGCTGAATCTCTCTCAGTGCAGCCCATAAGTGTTCAGTGAGTGTACAGAGTGAGAGAGTTGCAAAAGACAGCTTTAAAGGAATTGTTCACTTAAAAATGAAAATTCTGTCATAATTTATGTCATGAATTTCTTTCTTCTGCTGAACACAAAAGAAGATATTTTGAAGAATGTTTTGAAGAACAGTTTATGGACCCCATTGACTCAGTACATACTTTTTTGACATAGTATTTTCTTCTCTACTGTGGAAGTCAATGGAGTCCATCAACTGTTTGGTTACCGACATTCTTCAAAATATCTTCTTTTGTGTTTAGCAGAAGAAAGAAATTCATACAGGTTTGAAACAACTTGAGGATGGGTAAAGGATGACAGGTTGTTGGTTTTCATCTCCAAGGTTGTCATTTCAATTTTTGTATTTTTAACAGTGTCAGTATGAATATAAACAAATCTAGCATTCGCTTCTCTAGCATTCACAGAGAAAAAAAATTAAAACGGGTTTTCAGCTGTATCTATT